TTTCTTTTACCAGTCCCTTACAAGATATTTGAATTATTGTCAACATTTTGCTATTGAAAATGATACAACAAACTTTGTACATGTGTTGTTCCATATTTGTGGTGATGTACCTTTAGAATAAATTCCTTTAAGCAGGACTTCTGGATTAAATGTATCTGTAGTGTTGTGAGATTATGCCAAATGCTTATTGATGGGGTCAAAACATTTTGTATTTCCATAAGCAATACATGAATTTAACCACCTTCATGGCCTCACCCCCAAGATTGTACTGTCAAGTTTTAGGATTTTTCTCCCCAAAGAGAAATTGCCACAGTTTTCATGTGCATTTTTCTTATGTGTGAAGGTATGTTTAAGGATCACTTGAATTCCTTTTTCTGTGACTTGTCTATTCATCTTTGTTAACATTTAGATTCACTCAATTTCTTTCTTTTTTTTTTTTTTTTGTACCAGGGGTACCAATTCAGGGGTACTGAGCCACATCCCCAGCCCCATTTTACATTTTATTTAGAGACAGGGTCTGTCTTACTGAGTTGCTTAGCACCTTGCCTTTGCTAAGGCTGGCTCTGAACTCACAATCCTCCTCCTGCCTTAACCTCCAGAGATGCTGGGATTACAGGCATGCGCCACCATGCCGGCCTCAATTTCTTTAAATTAGCCATTTTAGGCCCTTATTAATATTGCTTTTTTGTCCAGATCACTATTGGCTCTCCCCTGAACTACTGGCACCTGCAGGTAGGTCTCCCTGCTTCCAACCTTGCTGCATCACAATGCAGTCTCACTGAACAGCTAATCTATTTTTTGTTGTTGTTTTTGTTTTTAAAATATTCCCTTATCTCTAATCCTCCAATGGTTTCCCAATACTACTGAAGTCCAGGTTCTTTGTCAAGATCTGCTGGGCATACAAAGCCTTACTTAGAACATCACGTTCCTCCTGGCATCCCTTTCACTCTGCTACAGTCAGCCTTGTGTACTGTCCTTTCCCACCAGAAGAAACCCAAAAGGAATTATCCCTCTGCAAGGAAGGTTCCTCCCACCATACACAGTTCCCTCTCATTTTTAGGACAGCTTACACATCACTAAAGGAGAACAGACATCTTTCACCACCCCACGTAAAGACATGTAAAACTGCTCTCCTACCCAATCATTAGCCGGTTGCTTTCTTCTCACCACCTCACTACCTGATATTTTTGATTTTTTATGTGCTTCCTACCATCTCTATTCTAGCATGTAAGGATCAGGGTTAGGAAGAGCGCTCTTATATACCACTGTTGGCCCTAGATCTGGAAAATTGCCTGATCATTCAAAGGTACTCAATAAATGTTAGTGTACTCAAAACCAGTTAAGTTGCTCCTGTTTGCCCATTATCATCTAAGATTTCTTTTAATGCTGTTTCTTATTTGACACCTAAAATCAGCATTATTTGCAGATCTCTTAGAGTGGTAGCTATTCAGAATTAAAAACATGAAATAAACTACCAAGTACCGAAAAACAGAGTTCTAATGTCCAGCAAAACATCAATTATAACTAATTTCGCATAAGAACATTTAATACTAAAAATACCTTAACTGCAAAATGACTCATCCTAAGGACTTAAATTGTGTCACAAAGGAAAATATGCCATCTGAATTCTACAGTAGAAAGGTCATCAAAATGTGTTTTTATCTGTGTCCCCAGAATCAAACATTTAATGGTCCTGTTTGATTTTACTATAAAAGATGCCCAATGATAAAGGTTAGGGAAATAAATGATGCTCTAACTACTCAACAATACACTAGCAGTTATTAAAAAAAAAAAGAAGCAAGCACTGGCATGGAAAGGCATCCTGGAGCACTCTGCATATATCAAGCACTGTCCCAGGGACTTTGTGTCTTATTTCATTGTTTTAAAAAAGTTAAAAAGCAGCACATAGAGTGATTTCATTTTTATAAAATAAACAGAATGTTATAATTATATGCATATAAAAGGGTCAGAATAATCAACACCAAAGTTAGCCTTGGTGTGAATGAAAGACTTTTCTGTTTTTACTGAATCTTTTACATCAAATACACTTGATAATGTAATTAAAATGGGGAACTGGGGTTGTGGCTCAGTGGTAAAGTGTTTGCTTCACACACATGGGGCAATGGGCTTGATCCTCAGTACCACATAAATAAAATAAAAAGGTATTGTGTCCATCTACAATTTTTTTTTTATTTCTTAAATATGGTAGGGGGGCGGTAGAGGAATGGTGGTGGGGAAAGGGTAGTAAATCATCTACTAGAAAGAGGACAGATCTGTTGCCCAGGGTTGTTGTTGTTTGTTTTGATTTGTTTTGGGTACTCGGGATTGAACCCAGGGATACTAAGTCACATCCCCAACCCTTTTTGTATTTTATTTAGAGACAGGGTCTTGCCGAGTTGCTCAGAGCCTTGCTAAATTATTCACTGGGATTATAGTCCGTGCCACCACACCTGGCTGCCCAGGACTTTTTTCACATCATATTGCCAATTTATTCCCTATCCTACCCCCTTCAAAGGGGTCACCTGAAAGAGCACTCTTAGCCAGCAAATTAGCAAAGCTCCTAAGTTTGGAGCATAAAAGGCTATATGAAAAGTTGAGTAATAAAATTGGATAATAAGATCTTACTACTTCATTTTGTGATACTGATATTACCATCAGTTATATTAGATACACTGTTCAAATAAAGGCCAACTACTTGAGTCTATTTGAAATCCATATTAGGTTCTTAAGAACAGCTCTGAAATAATCTTAAGAAATACTGTTCTGAAATGTTTCAAAGAGTAAAAAGTACATCATCATACTGTACGGTTTAATCTAAAAAAAAAAAATCAATTCTTCATTGTAGAAGAGGTAAAATGTTTTATATCTAAGGTATTTCTTAGTTTCCAGGGAAACCAATGTAAAATTGTCTGAAATAAAGATATTAAAAGCAAACTTTCAATGTACTTATACTTTATATTTGGTGCTCTAACTTGTTTCTAAGGAAACTTAAGAATAATAGCCAAATGTTGAAACTGGGTTCAATCCTTAACACCACATTGAATACATACATACATAAATAAATGTATTGTTTATACAACTAAAAATATTTTTAAAAGATGGGAGTAAATTGTAAGAGATGGGTCTACTTTATAAATGCATTTTTGAAAAGTTTTTTCTTAGGATCTGAATTTGGCATATCTGCAACTCTAATCAGACATAGCCAGTTCCTATCTTCCTTTCTTCATCATAAATGCAGGAATAATACACATATGCTTCCTTTGTATTTGGAAGGGTCAAATGAGATCACACATGAAAATGTTGTGAATACTAAAGATTTAAATAAAGGTTTTACTTGAAATCTATCCAAACTACCCCATCTACTAATTGGTTTGAAAATCAAACTTACCTTTCACCACCCAAGCAGAACAGCTTTCACATGTACTTACATGCTTTATTTTTAAAGGTACAATTAATGCATATATTTGTTCATTCTTTCACAATTTTTAAATATTCTGAAAAGTTACAAAGGCATGTCCATCATGAGCCTTAATTATTCTAACATAAAGAAAGTAAGTGCCAGGCTGGGGAGGTAAGCTCAGTGATGGTCTTTGCCTAACATGCCTGAAACCCTTAGTTCAATTCCCAGCACTGTGAAAACAGAGAGGGGAAGAAGAGACACAAACAAGCAAAAGAAACCAAGAGTCCAACTAAAATTTACATAGAACTATAAGACATCTGCTCCATAGTAATGAAATAATCTCTGCCATTTAAATGAAACAAATGGGTCAGCAGGGCAAACATCTGTAGAATACAACGTTTTCCATTTCAAAAGATTTAAGTCTTCATTCAAGAACCACTCAGTTACTCAGAATTATATTTACCTAGATGCGTCCATTTTCAAAATTCTATGGTAAAAATCAAAGGTTCCCTTCTCTTCTCTCACCTCCCATCCCTCACGGTTTAGAGCATGAAAAGCTTTCCTTTCACTTAAACATTCTAAGTGCTGAACAGGATTCTAGTGATGGGAGGGGGGGAGGGAAGGAGGGGAAGCCATGGAAACAAACTAGAGCCGGCAGGGTCTGGCATTTTAATTTCCAAAACCATTACATTACTAATTAAAGCCTAAATTTGTTTTGACTATTTTGAAACGTTTGACCAGCAATCTCATGGACCACCTCACCTCTCCTCCCCTCCAGAGATAAATGAAGTCCGCTAAGTGACTGAGTAGGGCTTCAGACACATTTGTCAAAGTGGGAATTAAAGTAATCGGAACTCCGTGGGTAATGTTCTTTGGGTGAAAAACAAAAGCAAAAACCGAAGCCCTAGCAGTAACCTTCGACACTTTTCAGTGTTATTTTAAGGCCCCCTTTCCCGGTTTTTTTCTTTTGTGTTCAAATTACAGTTGGAAAGAATAAAGCAGTTCTATCCAGGAGACTTAAAACAGTCTGCTTAATATCAAATAAACTCCTATGGCAACCTCTATTTGAATCTAAAGTAATCCTCAAACGTTTGGGTCTGAATTGCTCGAATATCAGCTACCTTAACCGGTGTTTGGAATAAACAATCAGGTTCTCACCTGGCTTCTTCACTTAGGTACCATCTGGATAGATAAGGATAGGGAGGATGGGATGGATACTCCGAAGTTGGGGCAACTGAATTTTCACTAAGCAAAGGAAGCAAATATACCAAAACAGTCGTGCAGAGTCCCACGAGACACTGAATAGAAAGAAAACCAGAAAGGGCCGAAAACTGGAGGGTCCCAGGACAGCTTGGGGAATGTGAAAGGGGGCAAGAACTGGGCGGCAAAATAGGGAGGGAAACAAGCTGGCCAGACAGGGAGGGGAAAGAATAAGGGGTGGGGACGTCAAGCAGAGCCAGCTAGCATCCCGGTGCCCAGCCTTGGAAAAGCCGGCTCTGGGCAGGAAGGAGCTCGAGGCGGCGGCTGCCTTCCGAGGACCCTGAGGGCGGCGGAGGCCAGAGGTGCTTCCTAGAGCGGACGGGGTCCACCGCCTCCTTACCTTCCGGCATCTCGCGGTCACTGATGTGCTGCAGGTGGTGGCCCTCGCCGGCTCCAAAATCTAACTCGGCGGGCTCCACGGCAGCGGGCGCCGGCGCTACGGCCACCGCCACTGCGTCCCCAGCCGCCGCCTCATAGAGCTCAGACTCGTAGTCCGGCTCCGCCGGCCCCGTGCGACGGCCTAGCTTGGGGCTGGCATTGGGGGACACGCAACAGGTCAGCGTGTTCCCCATGGGGCGCCTCCGCTCCTCTCCGCCGCCGCCCGCGCCTTCACTCGCCCCCGACTCCGCTGCGCTCAGTGGCCGCCCCCTCCCCCAACAATGGCGCGGCCGGCGCTGGCAGCCCCGGGCTATGCCCGGGCTGCTCCGCACATGCAGACGCGGCCTCGCCCGCCGCTCGCCTGCCCGCCCCGCCGCCCGGCCCCGGGCAGGGCTCCGGCCTCGGCCGCACCCCCGCCGCCACGCCGCGGCCGCTTTCTCAGAGCCGACTAGTCTGCGAGGGCGGCGACCAACCCGGCTTACTTAAAAGGGGTGGGGACCCGACCAGCGCTGAGAGGCGCAGCCACTGCCGGCTGAGAGCGGGGTCAGAGCTCCTCCTCCTTCCGCCGCCGCCTCCCGATTGAGGGCCGCTAGCCTGGCCTGCACCTGCCAACCGGAACGCGTTCTGCGGTCACCTGGTTACGAGCAACCAATCAGACCCAGAGTTCTCTCCACGCGCCCGCCTGGAACCCAGGCACGTGACTCACGATGCCCCGCCCCGTTCACGAGTGCCCCGCCCCTCGCGAGCGGCGTCCGGCACTCGGGTTTCCATTCATCGAAGGCTTCCCGGAGCTTTCCGGTCTTGGGGGAAACAGCGGGCGTTGTTACTCGAGACCGTCTCGGTTAACAGACTCTGCAGAAAGCCCCGGTTAGTAAAGAGCTGGTTCCGTTAGCAACTGGATTTTTCGGAGTCTGACAGCTTTCATTCGCTCAAGGAACTTAGTTACACCAGAATTGTTGATCATTTTTGTAACTAAATGCTCCTCTCTCGTCTTCGAAGGAGTGTTGCTTTTTACATTAAATTTGACTGTAGCAACCCCAGGAGGCCTGGCCCTACTTTCAATAAACAGTTGTGGCTGTGTGTCTTGAATGAAACACGAGGACATGTCAACCCCCACTTCCTCGTTCGTAAAAGCACAGACCAAACTGGTCCCTCCCAGTTCTAAATCGCTGCGACTCACCAACCCCTTTTTTCGCCTCTGTCTCTCCCTTCCACGGCAGGAGATTTTGCTTCTTTTACTAACAACACATAAAGCTTAATTTTTTCAACAAAATTGAGAACCAAAAAGTAGGGTGCCATGATCCCGCTTCCAAAGTGATAGGGAACAGTTAACATTTAGCAAGCACTATGTGTCCAGTACTGTTCCATCTGAAGCACTCATTTAATCCTCAAAAGCATTCCTATCTTAAATCTCACAGATTATACAGAAGAAAGTGAGATACAGAAGTAATTTTCCCAAGAACAGAGGAGCACTCAGAGTGGGGTCAGAATAGTCTGGATCCCCACAAGTCATTATAGTCATCTGAAAATAAAAATAGAAGTCGAATTTGGGGAAAGTAACTTTTTTAAAAAAAGAACGGTTTTACTATATGGTTTTTAAAATGCCTTCCCTTCAATCATCATTAAGTACCTTCTCTGTGTCAGCCACTGTATGTGTGAAACAGTCCCAACCCTCCATGAGGTGAGGCAGATAGGAAAAGAAAGGCTTAGAGAGTCTAATGGTCGGAGGTCACACTGATGGACCATCCTGGAATCTGGGATACAAGCTCCCATCTATCTGACCCCAAAGTAGATATTGGGGTAAAGGATTTGTATCTTGTCATGAAAACGTGAGAGTCATTGAATGTTGTGAACTTCAGAAGTTACTATCAGGTATATTTTTGGCAAAATCACTCTGGATAACAAGGAGATTGAAGGAAGAAGCAACAGGACTGATTAAGATACTATACTCTTTTAAACTAAAAGCAGTGATAGTGGCTGAGTGGAGAGAAAGAATTTGTGGTAATTTGTGAGGGAGTGGAGGAAGAGAGAAATAGAAGGCAAAAAAAATACTCCTAAGGTTCTGATTTGGGGGACCCAGTAGATAGTGGTCCCTCTTTTGTGGGGGGACTCGATAGTGGAGACAGAGAATTCAGGATGAGGAATAGGTTTGGGGAAGAAGATAGTTTTTGACTTTGTTAAGTCAAAGTTGCATATAAGCCTCTATAGGATAAGTCTATTTTGTGGCATCCCAAGTTATCAGGTTATGCTTTTAAAAATAATACACATTAAGTTAAATCAAAAGGAGTGGAGAAATTTCCTGAAACTTACATGCTAAGAATACTATATCTTTCTTTTTTTCTTTTTTTTTTTAATGTTTTTGGTGATTACTTCCAAGAAGCAACTTGGAATCTATGGTTTTAGCAAATGATGTATCTTGTGTAAAATAAAACTGTTAAATGAAAACAGCTCAAGTATATTGTCATCAGTGAAAATAGACAGTAATTGAAGTTGGGTGGGTATAGAAGTGGTTATCTTAAGAAGACATATAATAATTGGGCTGGGGATGTGGCTCAAGCGGTAACTCGCTCACCTGGCATGTGCGGGGCACTGGGTTCAATCCTCAGCACCACATAAAAATAAAAGATGTTGTATCCATCAAAAACTAAAAAATAAATATTAAAAAACTCTCTCTCTCTCTCTCTCAAAAAAAAGACATATAATAAAGAAGAGATGGGAGGTATGGGAAGGAAGGAGACTTGGAGAATAGGGAGCATAAAGTGAAGCCTGCCAAGGTGAGCAGTGCAAGTCAAAGAAGGAAGGTGGATCAGTAATGGCTCATCAGGAACCCTGAGTCCCAAAGAAAAGGGGATGGCACCTGCCTCTCATTTCTGTAATGGCAGCACTTTGCACAGTGGCTGGCCAGAAGGCAATCAGTAAATGCCATGTAAAGCTGAATGCTGCCAAGAGGCAGCAAAGTTACAAATGACATTTTCTATAATAACTGGATGCCTGAGGATGAGTGTAAGCCAGTTGGACAACAGGGAGAAGTGAATAGTAGGTGTTTCAGTTAGCTTTTCTGTCACCATAATCAAAAGACCTGACAAGGAGGAAAAGTTCATTTTGGCTTATGGTTCCAGAGGTTTAGTCCATGGTTGGCTGACTTCATAGCTCTAGGACCCAGGAGAAGCAGAACATCATGGTGGAAGGGCATGGCAGAGGGAAGCAGAGTTCCACTCATCAGGGACAAAATGTAAACCCCAAAGGCCACTGATCAACCTCCTCTCACCGTATGGTACCTGCTTATAGTTACCACCAAGTTAATTCATATGAATGGATTAATCCACTGATTAGGTTAAAATTCTTGTGATCTAATCATTTTGTCTTTGAACATTCTTGCATTGTCTTACACATGAGCTTTTGGGGGACACCTCATACATAAACCATAATAGTAGATGAGAAGGTAAGGTAAAGAGAAACTGAGGGCTTCACTGTCCAAACATTTGGCTGGAAAGAGAGATGTGGTATTATTTAAAGGGAGATGTACAGTTAAGGGAGTTTTCTCTTTTTAAGACCAGAAAAGGTCGGGTGGAGTGGCACATGCCTGTAATCCCAGATACTTAGTAGGCTGAGACAGGGGGATCACAAGTGCGAGGCCAGCCTGTGCAATTAAGCAAGACCCTGTTGCAAAAGAGAAAATGAAAAGGATAGCATGTAGGTTAGTGATAGAGCACTCTTGGATTCAACTCCTAGAACTACAAAAAAAAAAGGATTGGAAAAAAGGTAAGTACAATAATGTGTTAAAGAGTAAGAGCCAATGGAGAAAACAAACTTTTGAAATGAGAGGAGAAGAAAGAATTAATAGAAAAACGGTCCCAGGAAAGCAGAAGTGGGGGTAACCCAGAACAGGGATAGCTTTGGGATACTTAAGCAAGGAGGCAGAAACGTCTCTGTGAGTGGAGGAAAGATTTAGGAAGAACTCACTTGATGACCTCTATTTTTCTTTTATTTTAGAAGGTTTCTTTTTGGAAAATCACTATTTGAAAAGAGGAGTTCTGTGAAAAATTTCTGAGCACAGAAGCTTGACATACCTAACAAAAAAACAAATATAATTGCTCCTTGGTATACATAGGATTGGTTCCAGGAACCTCCATGGATACCATTATAATTTAGAAATAAGATGTCCTCCAAAAGTTCATATGTGACAATGCAAGAAATGATTAGGTTCTGAGAGTTTTCAGCTAACCAGTGCATTAATCCTCTAATAGGAATTATTGGGTGGTAACTATAGGCAGGTAGGGTGTAACTGGAGAAGATGGGTCATTGGGGGAATGCCTTTGGGGTATCTACTCTTGGTGAGGGGAGTGCTCTCTCTTTCTCTCTCTCTTTTCTGCTTTCTGGTATAGTGTCCTGTGCTGCTTTCCTCTGCCATACCCTTCCACCATAACAGTCTGCCTCACCACAGGCCCAGAACAACAAGTCAACCATCCATGCACAGAGACCTTTGAACCATGAGCCTCCAAATAAACTTTTCCTCTGCTGATTGTTCTTGTTAGGTCTTTTGGTCACAGCAGAAAAAAAAAAAAAAAAAAAAGACTAAAACAGGAGTCAAAATCAAAGGACGCTCAAGTCCCTTATATAAAACGGCATGGTGTTTGCATGTACTTTAAAACATCTATTATTACATAATACAATGTACATGTTATGTAAATAGATCCATACTGTATTGTTTAAGAAATAACAACAGAAAAAAAGTCTGTACATGTTCAGTATAGGTGTAATTTTCTTTTGAATATTTCAATCCACAGTTAGTTGAATCTTCAGATGCAGAACCCACAGATAGGAAGGCCTGTTGTAATTTCTTCTTTCAAGTATGGGTAAATTGAAGATAAATTTGAGAAAAAACTAAGAGGTATGCCAACAAAGTGAAAAAATGGAACTTATTATTTTTGCAATATATATCAATTAATACTTTTTGCAATATATATCATTTTCATCATGCAATATATATCATTTTATGAAAATATATATTGCAAAAAATATTAATTCACAAGCTCTTAAGCCATGTAACAGGCCACACAAACAGCCAGAGGGAGTGTTATCCTTTTAATAGAAAGAAAAACTCACTTCAAAAAGCAGGGAAGCAGAGATGCTTAATTTTAATTTAATTTTGTTTAAAAGATTTAAGGTTGAGAACAAAAGTTAGATGACATAT